ATGTTTTCGTGCTTTTTTCGACCTGCAAAGAACGTACATTCGCGGCGCGCTCGCACGCCGTGATTGGGGAAGCGAGTTGTCACGCGGTATTTTTTTGTGTTTCACGGGCGTTTTTTTGAAGGCTAGGAAAAAGGAGCATGGTTTAATTGGGTGTTTCTTAATGCGCTCTACAACTTTCCATTTCACACCTCGGCTTTTAAACAAAGATTTCAAAAGTTAACTTGTTACTGTTAAATAAATAAATGGGCGCACTAAAACAATTTCGTGCACTTTCGCAAGAGACTTTCTAACAGTGTACAGATGGTTTCACTCTCGCAGAACGCTCCGTTTTTTGTTTTTTTTTTAATGTTTGGTGCAAGTTATCTGGGACACTCCGCATATATGTACTAATAGTGTACATTTAGTACACTAAAAGCATACATGGAGTGTACTAAACGTGCACTTATAGTATGCTAAAAGTACACTCGAGGTGCACTTATGGTATACTACATATGTACTTGGGGTGTACTAAAGGTATACTATTTTGTTTCATAAAAATGTGAAACTAGTACGATTTCGGTACATACCCTAAGTTCACTATTAGTATACTTTCAGTATACTGATTTTGAACGACTTTTTGCTAAGGGGGATACTACCCCATAGGGGGTGATGGGCATTAATATCGCCTAGAATCATAAAGGGTTGTGGGAGTTGACCTACAAGACCCTGCAATTCACTAAGATGTAATGGAGTGTTAGGTGGTAAATAAAGTGATACTACAGTTATGAGGCGGTCTAAAAGAAGGCGCACTGCCACAGCTTCAAGTGGTGTGCAGAGTGGGACCTCAGAGCAGACAACCCCACCCTGTACAACCACTGCCACGCCACCAGAGGGAGTGTCACTAAGACGGTCTTTCCTAAAGACCCGGTGACGTCTTAAAATATGAGGAGAGCGGTCATAACGATGAGTTTCCTGAAGAGCAAGAGCTATCGGCCGAAGCTCATCCATGAAATGATTTACATCATCAATATTTCTTAAAAGTCCGCGACAGTTCCATTGCATAAAATTTACTTTTGTCATTTATAAAATGTGTATATATTGGAAAATGTAAATTAATGAAACTCGGTAGTTAAAAGATTAAAACTCAGGAGAGAGACAACTTGGATTACTTCGGCGCAGTAACTGGTTTTTTGTTCTTCCCTGCACGGGTCTGCGTCTGCCACTCCATACTATCCGGGTCAGAAGCAGGAGCAGCCGAATCGTCTAACTCCATGGACAAGTCTGCCTCTTGAGTTGTGTCGCTGGTATTAGCCAGCGTTTTCTTTCGACTTAGATCACGGGGAGCCACGCCTCGGCCGCGACCAGCCGAGGAGGCAGCGGAGGTGCTGGGCAGAGCATCTTTCAAATCTGCCTGCTCCGACCCTTTGGGTACTGGGGGAGCAGCACGGGAGTTGTGCCGCTCTTTGGAGGAGGCCCTCTCCAGTGAGTTGGGGCGAGAGTGTCGCTCCTTCTCACCGGGGGAAGGCGTCGAAGTAAGGACTGGCAATGGCATTGCCTGCCTGTCCTTAGACTCGAGGGCAGCTAGTGTGCTGCCTCCAGAAGGTGGGGAGAGCTGCTGCCCCTGCGGGGGGATGGGGGCCCGAAGGGCCACTGCCAGGGCTTCAGGCGAGACCTGGGTGGCCTTCGATTCCGTTCGCGGTGGAGGGCCCCTGCGCACCGCGTCGGAGTATGTGCCTTTAGAAAGATAAGAGAATCTGTGTTTTGCCTCAGGATACGATACGTTTTCTTTGGCTCACAGGGTAAGGATTTCTTTCTCTTGTCGCCACAAGGGGCAAGCGCGAGAGTAGGCAGGGTGAGCATCCTTGCAGTTGGCGCAGGAAATGGCATCTTCACAGATGTCGGCTAGATGTTCGTGGCTGCCACACTTTGCGCAAGTCTCCTTTCCTCGACAGCTGCGCGATCCGTGGCCAAAGCGCTGGAAACGGAAGCACCGCTGGGGGTTGGGGACATAGGGGCGGATGCGGCAATTAAGGTATCCTGCCTTGATGGTTTCTGGCAGTGTGTGTCGTTCAAATGTAAGAATGACGTGTTTGGAAGGGATTTGCTCACCATTTTTTCGGAATATAATGCGCTTAACAGCAACAACACCAACACCTTGGAGTCCCTCGAGGAGTTCTTCCTCACTAGTGTGCAAGAAGTCGTCCTCGGAGAGGACCCCACGGATGGTGTTGAGCGTGCGGTGAGGGCTAACAGACACTTTGACATCAAGAAAACTAGTCAACTTCAGGATCGCTGCTCTTTGTTTTTTAGTGGTTACCTCCACTAAGACGTCTCCGGAGTGCTGCTTTTAAGCCTTGTAGGAGAACCCTACAATGTTTTCCAGTACCTTGGCAACAACAAAAGGCGACAGCTTTGCAACAGGTTTATGTTCATCGAGCGAATGAACAATGAAAAACTTTGTAAATGTTTCAATTTCAGGATCTTTGTCAGTGGTCTTGAATTCAAGACAACGCCTTTTAAGGGCTTGCCCTGAACGGGGTTTAGAGGGGTGGGGCGCCATAGGAGGGCAAAGAGTGTTCAGAATCCGCGGTGCACCGCCCACCACCGAGCCCAACAAGGGTTAGGTAACGCACCATAACAAGAAGGGCTTGGCTGGAGACGTTACGCTAACAGTGATGCCGGGAAACTATACCCAACTGTGGATCAAGACAGAGGTCCATTGCCACTCAAGGTTAGCCCTTGCCGCCAAAGAGGGGTGAAAAAGCAGTAAGATAAGTGAGAGAGAAGTAAAGGAAACAGGAAAGGTAAAAGTGAAAGATCGGAGGGGATAGTAGAAGAAATGGCGACTAGACTGAATCATCCTGGCCGCGCCTTACCAGGACTCCCGTCTATGAGAAGCGGGGGCCGAAGTGGTGTATTGCCTCGCCCGGGGGCCCCCGAAGGGTCCAATTCTGCCCCGGGCTCGGCTCAACCACCAGGATGCCCTTTTCCCCAATACACGGGAAAGCCACGCACAGTCAGACGTGGGCGGGCGAACCTGCCGCCAAACAGTGCAAATATTGCTCAAAAGAATATTTATTTAGTGGAAAAATTGTACATAAAAACATGTCGCATACAGGCTCTTTAAGAAAACGCTTTTGTTTTCATTTAAGTGTTATTTTTAGTGCTGTGCAAAAAGAATAGGTAAATGCTGTCACGTCAAACAAAGCTTACATCTCCTTCAAAAAGAGGTGCGAGTTGCAATGCGCCCGTCGGGTTTTACTTTCAAAATCGACCACTCAAAGATCACAGATTTCGTCAACGCCCTCCTGCCGTCGTCTAATCCCCTTTTTCGTTTCCCCGGAGATGAGGGATTCGCAACATCTGAGCTCTTGACGAGAGCCAATAGAGCACGTGGGTGACTGTCATGACCCACGTGATGAACATACTCTAAGCCGCTCTATAAGAACGCAAGTATAAAAATATCCGCTCCCCCCTCGAAAAAAATATTGCAAAAGCAGACAAACTAGAGAAAAACCTCCACTTCCGGTACAGAAGAGTCGGTGACTGTGCAAACATTGTCCTGTTTGAACACCACTCCATAAAACAGTCAACAGAAACTACGACAAAGGAGGAACGCCAAAGTAATCTTTTGACAGTCGGAAGACGGTCCGAGAAATGACAGCATAGGTCCGTGACTGCGTCGACACCGCACGCCATCTTATGCAGGGCTTTGTAACAACGTACGAAGTGCCGAACCATTCGGTAGTAAAATCGTTAGCATTGTTTGCATCGTTTGATTGCTGACCTGGTCCACATTGATAAAAAGACTATACGACAATTTTTACATAACCAAGGGATCATTCGCAAAGTCTGCGCTAATATCTGGTGCCCGAAAACCTCAATCAGGAGGATGAAAATAGCCGGAAAGACAATTGCGCTGACTTTAAGAAATGGCGGTTAAGTGAACTTGAGTTGCAGGAAAAGCTAATCAGATGTAACCAAACATAGATGCAGATGCCAATTCCCCCGCCACAGAAAATAAAAATGGCAATAAACAAACTGTAAAACAAGGTAAAAAAGAAACACATAGGTATGCTGAAAGGGTCGTCAGATGATGACGCGCAGCACTGTTTCACCAATACATAATGCGTGTGCTAGTACGGGAGCGGGAAAGGGTGATGTTGAAGATGTAACTATTGAGTCATGAAATTGCACGCATAATTTACACTTTTGCCACCAGTATTTTAATTAAATAGCATATCCCAGAAAATAAAAACTGTCACTGAAAAAGCTGTGCAGTGTTAGTTTCACCTTAAAATTAAACTATGCATCGCCAGACGCTTGCTCCCCGCCCAAGTGTCGCTCTAGCGGTCCGCACTAGATGCCACAGCTCCCGAACTAACCGTAATTTATTTCAGAAATCACAAGATATTGTGAAAAACTTTTATTTTATAAAATTATGGTCGAGGAAGAAACAAACACATGGGAATAAATGGCGTTAACTACCGCAAACAGACTTCATTTTCCTATTTAAATTTTCAGAGAGTCATTTTAAACTTTTGAATTAGATAACGGCTACCCCTGAAAGTTTGAGATCCGGACCGAACCATTAGCACTACAAATGGGCTGAGACTGAGCTTGCGCCAATGCCTAGATCAATATTGCGTAAAACAATAATAAATATTTGCTTTTTGTGCGGTCATTTTGGACAGCATTATTATTTAAAACCAGCATTTCGCTCGAGTAGTATATATCGCATTATTACAACCCGATATCCTTTGTTGCACACAATTTGTCGCAACAAATTCTTCTCAATAAACACTTTGAAACTGAGGTATCATTCAAGAGGCGTTGTTTAGAAATTAGAAGGCAGACCTGGCATCTTGCCCGAGATTGAACGGGGTTTAGTCCCGCAAGATATTTTTTACATTTATGATTACAATATCATCAGCCTAGATCCGGTATGTACACACCGCGCAATCGAAAAATCAAGATTGAAGCTCCGATCTTTCGAGGTTGACCCTGAGTTCTGGGAATACATGCTGGAGTGGCATAACGACTATAGAAAACAACGTGCAACGTCACCTCTCTTCTATAATTACAACGTAAATATATTTATAGCATTTTGTTTGTTGTTTCCCATAATTCACTATTCTGTTCACGTCGGAAATTGCTCTACCAACTCGTACGTCATATGATAATGCATGGTTTCTTTATTACTAGAACCACAGCAACATCTTTGTCCATCAGAGTTGCCGAATATGAGAACTTACTTACTAAACTATATTTAAGTAGACCACTCTAAAAGTTGACCGGACATGTATTTTTCTAAAACGTACAAATACGGTGTAGTAGTGCAATATAGGCAAAATACTCGGACAATTATAAACAGGATTTTAAATTCGAGACTGCTAGTAAAAGAAAAACGCAAAGAAACACGCAATAAAGTGATGCAACGTCTGCAGTTTTGGGACGAGTCTAACAAATTTCTGCGCTTTTAGGTTCTTTTTCTTATTTTTTAAGGAAAATTTCAGATGGTTACAAGGCTGCGGATCCGGCTAGGCAGTTCCGAAGTGTTAGCACTGTGTTCGTGTGTATCTATGGGCCATGTGGTTTGTTAGAGTAAGGGCAGTTTTAGCATTTGTTTGGTTCTTTCTCGGAGGTCAATTTTGTTTGTAAGTGTTGAGTTGTAAACCCCGTGTGTTTAAGGACGGCAAGGTGGTGATTGTACTGAACGGTGACCTTCTGTGTAAATGTTTTGTTGCCAACGTAAAGGGAGATAGAGGGCAGTACGTTGCATCGACAACTTTCAGCGAAAGGCTCATGCAGTCCTTTATTATTTCAAATACAATTTGCGTGACATAGTTCAACCTTTCGGCTAAACTTTCAATCTATATCTTTAATAAGATAAGGAGAGAGTAATCTGCATTTTTTGACAGACACCTCTCTACACACACACAATAGAATCTCCGACATGACACATATAGGACTCCTTTGCTGAGGACAATTTACGGTACCCAACAATTGGCATATATAACACCAGATATCATAAAGAAGCGTCGAAACATTCATGAAATTTTCCGAAACTCTGGGTCTACCCACATGTATGTACATATAATCAAAAGGTACTTCTATTACGTGACACGATCAAAATATTTATACATATATTGTAATACCTTTTACCACATTTTTGTATCCGTGTTAAAATTTAGTTGTTTATAAGCGCCTTCTCCTGCTATATATTTAAATACCACAACTACGTTGTTGCTAGTGTAAACAAATGATGTATCATTTTTTTTCTATACACTATTGAATGTATAGAAGGCCACGTCAGCAGTACATATCTGACCTTTGCCCTGTTATGGGAGACAACAAAATCTGAATAAACCCGTAAACAAACAAACAAACAAAACAAACGAAGGTTTTTCTCCGTTCCTGTTAAAATTGTGTGCGTATGTGTTTTCTGTTTTCTTTTTACCTTTTTTTTTATTTTGTCCATTTGTTGTGGGGTGTTTTGCCTCTGGTGTTTGTAGTCAAGGCATTGGAGACATACTATGCAGCGCGTGCATGAGATATACTTTGAAGCTTGTTGAGAGGTTGCCTTTTTTTCTGTCTTCCTTTGGGTTTTCTTTTTCCAAACCCAGTTTGATGTTTACCATGATGTTCAACTTGCATTAGCTCGCCTGCAGTCTCTCCATTTTTAGTCAACTATGTGTCCAAAAATAAAACACTTCCTTTAGAAATAGCACTCATGCTACAACAATCAGGTGGCCCAGAACACGTAAAACGTCATACTTAACACTACACCGGAAACCTCTCTACATGGCAGAGTATTTTACTGACATAATGTTCCCTGAGCTCGCCACTTGAAGTACGTGACCCACTGTTGTGCCAGACGCGCGAAAATCTTTAAAAGCGGAGATGTCACCGAAAGGCGCAAATGAAAGTCATCATCGCGCTAAATGATTCAGCAAATGACTTACGAGATTAAGTAGAAACTAAATCGACTTTAATCTTCCCTCTAAAATACTTGAGTGTCTTCTTTCCCACAAAGCCCTTGGAAGAGTCAATTGCTTCAACCTACGGAGGCAGTTCAGCGAATGTTTAGGCCTAACCAAAGCTGTCTGCACACTGGCAATGTCCACGACGTTTCACCGTGCCCACAGCAAGAGTGCAGATATGCCTAGACATGTGTTCAGAGCCCTCAGTCGCCGAGCACTCTCCGGTGAGTGAAGCGATCAGCTGTCCCGACTGCTATGCGGGAAAGTAAAATCTTCATATTTCTTGAAGTGTTGCAATGTCCAAGGTAGTATTAAGTTCATAAACGTGCTTATCCCTGTGGTAAAAACTGGGGTTATCTATGAGAACCTCAGCTGCTACGAAACACTTTTCAGTGTATTTTTCAATACTCTTTCCTCTTGACGCAGTTACAGGCATGGGCGCAGCAGTGGACGGAAAGGCTTGCCCTAACTGATGTTACTGAACATCGACCACCACAACCGGACCCTTACAAGAAAATGGGCGAAAATATCTACTGTATGACTCTGACTAAGCCCGATTTTGTTCCTTCAGGTCAGTTAAATAGCACTTCACTTCTGCTACAGGTTTTATATGTCAAGATTTGTTCAATGTCTGTTTACCTGAGCGCATAAAGAAACGTCGTAAACTTACAGCAGACCGTTTGGTAACGAAACTAAGCGTCTCAAAAAAAAACGTTGGCTATCATTCTGAGAATTCTAGAAGAATCCTGTTGTAGCTATTTTTTTCCTCAGATGCTCCTTTGTTGCTTTGTTTGCCTAACTAGAGGTGATGAATTAGTAGACGTTGTAGACAAGAAACTTCTTATATTTCGATCCCTCATATACGCCAAAATAAGCCCCGAAAAAATCTGGTGTGACTGATATCCAATGTCTGCTGTATGCCATACCATACTAGGTCCAAGCGAGGCCGACACTACAGCAGAATGTAGCCAATCAAGCAGCTCAATAAGTGCGTCGCCATGGCCCTCGTCGTCTTTGTGCGTGTGCTAACAGCGGCAGAAACAATTCACGCCCATAAAAAAATTAAGGATCATGGAGCAGTCCTTGTGCATGAATGGTTGAGTTGTGGAGAGCTAGGGCATGAAGACGACGGGCGCCGTGACGAGGCACTTTTAACGCCCCTTGTTCGGCTTCATGGGATTGTAACGTCGTCCACTCAGCTAGATCCAGGTGTGAAACAGAATGTAACGTGTTAATATGCAGATATATTCGTCAGACATTCGTCTTGTTCGGATAATGGGCACTATATCAAATATCGTAAAGCAATCAAGATACAAATGACAAATTTTCACAATTGAGTCTTATTCCTGCACTGAAAGCCTATAATCTTGTCTACAAAGAACGATGTTTTCCTATAGTGGTGTTTAAAGATGACGCAGTATATCAGTTTGACACATAAGCAGTCAAGTGCAATATGAATGGCATATTACGGCCTCATACTTCTATATCCATGGGATGATTTTGCACTAGAAATACTACGCAATTTTCCTTTGATGATATGTCGCGTAAGCTCACAATGTAGGAAATACATGCCTGTAAGGTAAAATATTATACTGCTTTAGTACCGCAGTCTCAGTGAGTTAAGCTATCAGCTAAATATAACATCAAGTCAGTCAATGAAACATCAAATAAACTCTCCCGGGTTTATGTAACAGCAATAACGCTCGGTCGATTGCAAAACTTTGTTTCTTCAGTGGATACTGCTTTTGCAAAAATGGCGAGCGTATTGACACAAAAAACATGCGTAAGCATTTGTAACCAGAATTATAAAAATATATGCAAAAGTTCTATGTAATGACTTAATGCATGTTTGTGGCTATTGTCCAGCTCGTGTGTCTACTCGTAGAAATTTGGTTGATTTTTTGTGTTTATTATTATAATTGCTATATCCATCTTTTTTAAAAATTAGTTAAGTTCTACAAAGGCTTGTGGTATGTTCACTACATTAATTTATTCATTCAATGTACAGGCTTCTAAATTTCGTCTTAATTAAATAGCTAGACGTACTTCATGCTTTCCTGATTTGTAACTTATAAAGCATTTTGCTTACCGAAGAGGTTTCACCAGGGATCAGTTCCGTAAATAATATTGCCGCGCGCGCAGCTGGCCAAGTAGGCAGCGCGCGCGTGGCCTAACGGTTATGGCGCTTGCTTTCCACGCCGAAAGCCAGAGTTCGGTTCCTGGCCGCGGAGGCACATTTTTGTTGACTCTGTAAAGTAATGTTCTGGTAAATTCGAGAACCATGTTGCCTGAGTGTTCTACGCGCCGAACCTTCTACGCCGATTATTCCAGAAGCCCACACGTGTACATAAGGGGCTCCGCGTGGCGATCTGCAGTCAGTTTTCGCCCCAGCGTTCGACTCTGCTGCTACGCTCCGTTATTATCGTTTGTACCCTTTCATTTTTGGCACAAGTTCGCCACATTAAACGTTTACTTATTCCTGTTTATTTCTTGTTTATTAGTCACCACCCGTGACATTTTGGTGGAGGTGCGGGGTACCGCATGCCCGTGCAGGGTTCCCCTCCAAGGGCCCGCAGTGCAAGTCCGATTCCCGGCTCGGTGAGAAGACCACTCACCGCAGAACCTGAAACTCGGACCAGCCGCCGCACCAAGGGAGAGGATCCTGAGTACGGTTTGCTCCTGGACAAGCCCAAGCCGCAGAAGACGGCAATGGCCAAACAGTCGCAAGCCCCCGCCGCTTCTCCTGTCATCTACATGCCTGTCGCACCGCGGACGGCTGCCCCCTTCCACGGTGAACTCGACGAAGACGTCGAAGACTGGATTGACCAGTATGAACGCGTTGCCTGCCACAATGGCTGGACCAATGAGCAACGCCTGCACAACGTCTACTTCTCGCTTGAGGGGACCGCCAAGCACTGGTACGAGAACCATGAGTCCTCTTTGACGTCGTGGGACATTTTCAAGACCGATCTGAAGGCTACGTTCGTCAACCACCACCGCCGAGAGAGAGCCGAGGATCTTCTGCGAACCAGGACCCACGGACTAAATGAAAGCGTCACGAGCTTTGTGGAAGACGTGCTCCGCCTGAGCTCCAGCGCCGATCCTCAGGCCACCGAGGGAAAGAAGCTGCGCATCTTGATGCGGGGCGTGAAGGACGACATCTTATGAGGCCTCGTCCGCAACCCGCCGGCAACCGTCGACGCCTTCGTCAGTGAGGCGACAAACATCGAGCGCGCCCTCCAAGCGTGCGCTTCCCACTACCAGCGGCAGCCCAACGTCACTGCAACTGCGCTGCTTAGCGGGGAAAACGCGCCTGGTACGGACATCTCCGAAATTATCCGGGAGGTTGTCCGGGAGAAACTGCGAATGTTGCTGCCAACCACCACCGAAGAAGTGCATCGGGCGCTCCAACCAGAGGTTCCCGTCACCACGGTGGCACCGGGGGAACTGACGTTGAGCTACGCCGCCATGGCCCGACGACCGCTGCAAGCTTCCCGCCAAGCCACGGCGCCGCCCCGAAGAGACGCCCCAACGCCGCAGTACCCCCGACGACAGAAAGATCAGGCGCACGTTCCCCCAGAGCGGCCTGCGCCGAGGAAGACAGACGTCTGGAGGACGACCAACCGACGCCCGCTGTGTTACCACTGCGGGGAAGCTGACCATGTGTACCGCCGATGCCCATACCGACGACTCGGGCTGCGCGGATTCCACCCAAGCGACCCGCGCCCCCGGTATGGTGAACGACCTCGGGAGATCGACGAGTACCTGCGACGATCCCAGTCCCCCGAGCCTGCGTCCCGCCGAGAGTTCCGGTCGCCGTCACCGCGACGTCCAGCTTCGCGGATGCACCGACCCCGACGTGAAAGCGTGTCGCCCCTCGCTCCTCGCCGGGGAAACTAGGCGCGGCAACCCCTGGAGGTGGAGTTGCCGAAGACGACCGACGTAAAGAGCCTCCACGAACGACGGAGCGCTCCCACTCTCCCGACGCTAGGCATCACAACGACGCTCCTGCTTCGGTGTCCAACAACCTAAACGTTGTTATCGACGGCCTCGACTCATCGGCACTCGTGGACACCGGAACAGATTACTCAGTCTTGAGTGGGAGGCTCTCTCGCCGCCTGCGAAAAGTCATGACGCCGTGGGATGGACCCCAAATACGAACCGCCGGAGGACATCTCATCACGCCAGTCGGGAGATGCACTGCTCGCGTCGAGATCCATGGTGAAACGTGCCCTGTGAAGTTCGTCATTCTGCAAGACTGTTCGAGGGACGTTATCCTCGAAATGGACTTTCTCTGCGAGTATGGCGCCGTCATCGACCTCGGGGCAAACCAGATGATGCTGCGAAAACCTGTTTTACCGCCGGTGGAGACCAACACGACATGAACCGCGATCCGAGTTATCACCGACCATGCAAACCTACCGCCGCGGTCGAGTGTTTTCGTCACCGTTATAACCGACGCAGCCATACACGGTGAAGCTCTTCTGGAAGGCAGCGTCCAACTGCTCCTGGAAAAAGGAATTGGTGTCGCAAGAGGCGTAACGGATCTCCAAGAAAGACGTACAACTGTTCTTGTGAAGAATTTTCGAGAGGAGCCGCAGCACCTAACGAAGGGTACCACTGTGGGCCACGTCGAGCAGCTTCAGGCGCCAGCGGTGGTCACCGCAATCTCCGAGGAATCCTCCTCGCCACAGCAGAAGAGCACGACGCCGCCGCCGCTCGACATCGACCCCGAGCTCCCATGTACGAAGCGCCGGCAACAGGTTGATCTCCTTGCCGAATACAGTGACTGTTTTGCCACGACATCGATGATTCGCAAAACACCAATGGCGAAACATCGGATTGTTACCGACGACGACGCACTACCTGTCCACCAGTCGCCGTATCGAGTCTCCTTAAAGGAAAGGAAAGTGATTCAAGATCAAGTCCAGGAGATGCTCGACGACGACATCATTCAACCCTCAAGAAGCCCATGGGCGTCCCCAGTCGTCCTTGTAAAGAAGAAGGACGGAACCCTGCGGTTCTGCGTGGACTATCGTCGACTGAACGGTGTGACGAAGAAGGACGTCTATCCGCTCCCCCGCATCGACGATACGTTAGACCGACTGCGCCACTCCCGATATTTTTCGTCGATGGACCTGAAGAGTGGTTATTGGCAGATTGAAGTCGACGAACGTGACCGAGAGAAAACTGCCTTCGTCACTCCCGACGGACTATACGAATTCAAAGTGATGCCGTTCGGACTTTGTACAGCACCAGCCACCTTCCAGCGCGTCATGGACACCGTGCTGGCAGGTCTGAAATGGCAGAGCTGCCTCGTCTACCTGGACGATGTCGTGGTATTCTCACGAGATTTCGACGAACACCTCAGACGACTTCGAGCCGTGCTTCAAGCCATCAAGACCGCCGGCCTATCACTCAAGCCAACAAAGTGTCGGTTCGCCTATGGGGAACTAAAGTTCCTTGGCCAACGTCGTGAACAACAAGAGTGTTCTACCTGACCCCGAGAAGACCCGCGCCGTAGCTGCATTTACGCCGCCGTCTGACAAGAAGGCCATGAGAAGATTTCTCGGACTCTGTGCCTACTACAGGCGCTTTGTTCGAGACTTCGCCAAGCTATCCGCACTGCTGACACACCTCACGAAGGACGCCGTAAAGTTCGAGTGGACAGAAGAACACCAGAGGTCATTCGACGAGCTCAAACGAAGACTCCAGACGCCCCCGATTCTTGGCCATTTCGACCAGTTTGCTGAAACCAAGATCCACACCGACGCCAGTAACACCGGACTGGGTGCGGTAGTAGTCCAAGTGCAGGACGGAGCAGAGCGAGTTATCGCATACGCAAGTCGGACGCTGTCTAACGCGGAGAGGAACTATTCAACGACCGAAAAGGAGTGCCTCGCTGTCGTATGGGCAATAACAAAGTTTCGCTTATATTTGTATGGAAGTTCTTTTCGCGTGATCACAGACCACCACTCGCTCTGCTGGCTGGCGAATCTGAAGGACCCCTCCGGACGCCTCGCTCGGTGGAGCCTACGACTGCAGGAGTTCGACATGACCGTGGTGTAAAAGTCCGGCCGGAAGCACAATGACGCCGACTGTCTGTCAAGGGCCCCAGTCGAGGCCGGTCCTGCCTGCACCAAAGAGGACGACGATGAGTGTTTCCTCGGCGCTCTGGATGTCAGCGACATGGCAGCAGTCCAACGAGACGACCCTGAGCTGCGAGCACTCATCGAGCACCTAGAGGGACAAGGAAGCGCCGTTCCCCGCGGTTTTGTACGAACACTGCCAACCTTCTTCATTCGACAAGGCGTACTGTACAAGGAGAACTTCAGCGACAACAACGCGGCGTGGCTGTTGGTGATCCCTTCCAGTCTTCGAGAGGAAATTTTTCAAGCCTGCCACGATCACCCGACGGCGGGACACTTTGGTTACAGCAGGACAATGCGAGGATACGCGAAAAGTACTACTGGCCCAAGCTTGCGAAGACAGTACACCACTACACCCAATCTTGCCACGAGTGTCAACGACGGAAGAAGCCACCGACGAGACCTGCAGGACTCCTTCAGCCTATTGCGCCGCCATCTGCCCCATTCCAGCAAATCGGTATGGATTTACTCGGACCTTTCCCACCGTCGACGCAAGGAAACCTATGGATAATCGTCGCAACCGATTATCTCACGCGGTACGCCGAGACAAAAACCCTTCCATCAGGAACGGCTGTTGAAGTCGCCAAGTTTTTCATCGAGTCCGTCGTCCTACGGCACGGCGCTCCCGAAGTCTTGATCTCAGACCGTGGATCATCATTCATGGCCTAGCTGACTCAAGAAGTCCTTCGTCTCAGCCACACCAGCCGTCGTCGCACCACGGCGTACCACCCGCAGACCAACGGGCTGACGGAGAGACTCAACAAAACCATCGCCGATATGATCTCCATGTACGTCGACGTGGAGCACAAGACATGGGACGAAGTGTTGCCGTACGTCACATTTGCCTACAACACGGCCGTACAAGAGACCACCGGAGTGACACCCTTTCAACTGGTGCATGGACGCAAGGTAACGACAATGCTGGACGCTATGTTACCCCACGAACCGGCTGTCGACGCAAGCGACGACGCCCAGGTGGTTGCCCAAAGGGCAGAAAGAGTCCGTCAGCTCGCCAGACTCCGTATTAAGGCTCAACAACGCGTCGACACTGGCCGCTACAACCTTCGTCGTCGGTACGTCCACTTCCAGCCCGGAGACAGGTTGTGGGTGTGGACACCGATTCGCCGCCGCGGTCTCAGCGAGAAACTCCTGAAACGTTGTTTTGGACCCTACAAAGTGCTTCGTCGACTCGGGGATCTGAACTACGAGGTGATGCCCGACGGAACACGGACCTCCTCACGCCGCCCTCCACGACCGGAAGTCGTCCACGTCGTGCGACTGAAGCCGTACTACGCTAGATAGGACTGTGGACCTTATGCGTTCCAAATCACTGTTTACTTTACCGTTCTTTTTATTTGTTTTGTTTCTGGGTTGCATCGGGCCGATGCACTTTTTAAAAGGGGGAGTAATGCCGCGCGCGCAGCTGGCCAAGTAGGCAACGCGCGCGTGGCCTAACGGTTATCGCGCTTGCTTTCCACGCTGAAAGCCAGAGTTCGATTCCTGGCCGCGGAGGCACATTTTTGTTGACTCTGTAAAGTAATGTTCTGGTAAATTCGAGAACCATGTTGCTTGTTCGATGTCAGAATGTTCTACGCGCCGAACCTTCTACGCCGATTATTCCAGAAGCCCACACGTGTACATAACGGGCTCCGCGTGACGATCTGCAGTCAGTTTTCGCCCAGCGTTCGACTCTGCTGCTACGCCCACTTCGACGCCCGCGACGCTCCGTTATTATCTTTTGTACCCTTTTATTTTTGGGACAAGTTCTCCACATTAAACATTTATTTATTCCTGTTTATTTCTTGTTTATTAGTCACCACCCGTGACAATATTTCAAACTTCCGAAGAGCTGCGTGACGGCTACATCTTAAGGACATGTTTCTTCGTTCATAATTGAACAGCGCTGTTCCATTATGAATCCATACCAACTCGCCCAGTTATCCTGTTTCTTCGTTCTTTTCAGAAAAGGAGTTACTACGCTCTGGTTCAACGAAATACATCAATATAATTATAACAACCCGCGGTACAACTCAAAGACATCCCATTTCACACAGATGGTGTGGAAAGCAACCATATATGTTGGATGTGGTTATGCCCGCTCATATTATTCAAAGACGACATACGTTCTCTGCAACTACTGGCCTTAAGGAAACACCCACCAAGAATTTGCTGAGGATGTACGTTAATAAAATCAGTAAAGGATACGGCGCTGCTTTTAACTAAGGGCTCGTATTGTGACAATTATTTTTTACATGAATCTGAGGGCAAATTTGGCGATTTTCTCGCCAAACTCGTCTCAGTAATTCCAGAGTACCTTCGTAAATTTTCTGTGTAACTCTGTTAAGGAGTGGTAGTCAAAATGCTGCCCCTGTAACGACTGTAGCTTCTTCCGACTATCATTAATGCCGAACGAAAGAGGCTCTGCCATATAGTAGTATCCAAGACACATGTGGTGTCATTGGCTGTGCTTCGATTTAACTTTTAACGTAACTGAAGACAATCAAACAATTGTGAGGGTCAATTCGCCAATATTTCGCTAATTGACGAGGGCCACGTGCTGGAATCCGCAATGATTATTCCTAAAAGTACGAATCATTGCGGATTCCAGGCAAAATATTAAAAATTGTTTTATGGTTATTGTTTACACGATGAATTATGTCGGGTGTCTGGAGGCCTTCTGGTAGCGCCTTTCGGTCTAGTAATACTTTCTCGCGTGCGATGAGACGTTGTGGCGCCAGTATGCAAATAGCCCTTTACCACTTCGGGATCCAAACTAGATGGCAGACTTCGCAGTATTTGCAAAGTCAAATATACATGCTGTCTTTTGGAATGGCCCTAACAGCACTGTCAGACTCAATGCAATCTTATGAAAAAATAATGCTGTGTAAAATATGAGGAAATATACGTGAACCGGAAGTGTGCCGGGGTACGCAATAGATGGCGCCTCTGAGTTTGTCGCGAAACAAAACAGTTTTTATAGCCTATTGTCCTGTCCCCCCATGGCCAAATAAATGAAATACAAATTACATTAGTGTTGTCAGAAGGTACAAAGAGTCGTCAGTCGCACTCTGCTTCCTCAAATGAATAGATAACATGTAGATTACTGAATGGATGTATCCGACATATTATTTTGGATGGGGCGGCGGTTTGCGCAGCCTAGACATCGACTCTAATATCAACACCAGGACACCTCTTGGGTCATGTGTATGTAGCAGTGTCAACAACACGGTCTGTGTACAGCGCGCGACACTGTTAGCGCGAACAAGCGATCGCCGGATTTTCCAGCTTTTTTTCTTTGAAACCAAGGGATATCATCCAAGCTTTTACTGCTACGAAAATAGCTCATTTCGGTCTATAATGTAAGCGATAACGTTTGTGCCCGCTAATACTATTTAGAAGTAAAATGCGAAATTGCACCGATGACGTGTTGGCGCCAGCAGTGTCGCGATGTGAACATTCGTTAACACGGCGCATAGGAAAAGCACGTTATTTTTTGTTTCCTTTTTCAGTAGGAAACGTGCACAAATATTTGAGCGTGACAAATGCACCCCCTAAATAGTTATTCCTGAAACGTTTCCCCACACTCCGTTTAGTGGCTTATTCTTTTCTTATTTTATAAAGGTAATGGTGGCCTACTTTGGCGGCGCTCTCACACGCCGTGCAAACGCGACGGGCGAGGAAGATTGCAGAAGAAAATAGGAGATAAGACGACGGCCCAATGGAAGCAATTCACCTGTCAGTTCCGTCAAGTTGTTTACAGGACTAGTGTATAACCTTTCACAATATGTCAGAGTATACTCAAAAGGTATAAGAAGAACATGTTTAATGTGAGAGGTCACGGCGCATTCAATGCGCTTGATTGATTTAGCGAAAGCACACACACAGAGAAGGATGACAATCGCCTTCATGTTGCGTTTTTTCGCTGCTGGTTTGGCACCATACCCTTGCTCCGTTGGTTGCGCTAGCGGTTTCCTTAAGGCTCTTTTACTCTCCAACGTTGAGCGCAGCGAACACAGCTTAGCGCAAAACGAGCGTTGTTCATCGGCTGGCGAGCTGCAACAGAATATCTGCGAGCGTGGAGTGTCTGTGTGTGCTGCGTTACGCCGCATATGCTACACTAAATGTGTGAGTGTAACAGAGCCTTAAGTCGACCATGCGAGGTGGGCGCCACAATCTGGAAGGAAAGAGGAAAATCATGAGTGGCAAATATTTCCCGATGAGCTGTGGCTTTACCCTGCTCTCCTCTACGACGTGCTTTATCACGAAAAATAAAACTGCAATGTGCCCGGACGAAAGTCTAATGCCTTTACCAATATTCACAGAGTTACAAACGTTTCCGACAGTTTTAGACCTTAAAAAACGTTAAATCCTCTCAGCAAATTCACCAAAGGAGTTTATATTAAATATAAACCAAAGGAGTTTATACTTTCTTTTTATAAAACATCTTTCGCAGATACATTCGTTTTACCGACCTTCAGTCTATGGGGTCTCTTGCCTCTACGCAGAGTGGAATGTTCATGTTAAGGCGCTACCGCGGAAGCTCCGCACATGAGAACACGCGAGGTTGACAGTTAGAAGCTGAGTAGTTATTAACTAATTAAAGTGTGGGTTCTTATGAAAGCGAGGAGTCGCGAGCGCCACAATATATTATATTTTACATATTTACAAAAAAAAAAAGGAAATCAACGTGAAGGTTGTTCTTCCGTAGGTAAGGCCGAACGCTGGCTCACTCTCGTGCTATCTATATATATTTTTGTGCCTCTCGCGCATCCCTGCGTCCTCTTCTTCCTTGTGACCGTAGATCCTACAAATACTCCCCCCCTAGAGAGGAAGCGGCTTGACGAGCGTTGAGGTTTACGCTGTTTCTTGAAAACGAACTTTCTTTGGAAGTCTGCTACTCCTTGGAGGCACAGTGAGGAGATCGAAACTTGAGGAAGGTTACGTCCTTGAAATACCAGGACCACACCAAGCGAAAGGCAAGGCCGGCATTTGATGGTGCGCTTTTACGAGATCGATTTTCGTGAAAAATTTTGATCCGTGCAACGCACCTCCGAAATCTTGAAGATGTGGAATGCGATAGCGGTCTGGGACTGTCACGTTGTTGAGAGCCCGATAGTCCCCGCAGGGTCGCCAATCTCCAGATTTCTTTGGCACCATGTGTAGTGCCGATGACCAAGCACTTGTTGAGGGACGTACAATGCCTAGTTCGATCATGTGATCGAACTCCTGTCGGGCGATTTTTGAGGCGATCAGGAGCGAGGCGTCGAGGTTTCGCAAATACGGGGGGACCAGTTGTTTCAATATGGTGCGTGATGGTGTGTTTAGCTGGCTCTTTCGCGTCGGATGACCGCAGCAGCTGAGGAAATTTGTCTAGAAGGGAGTTCCATGGAGCCTCAAGTATGGGTGCCGATATGGTGAGGTTGAGGGACTCGGTCTTGGACGCGATTCCGTGAACGTAGAGATGCGTTCCCGCGTCCAGGAGTACGTTTCTCCTCAGATCGACAAGGAGGCCAAAATTGCGTAAAAAATCTGCTCCCAGGATGGATTGCTGAAAATCAAAGGTATTCCTAAATTTCGTTTAAACTAACGCGTATTTGTTCTTTTGTTACTCGCAACAGTTTGTTCAACAAAAGTTCCTATCTTACTAAATAGGTATAAAGAGAGAGCATTAATTACCTCACAAGAGCTATTGCAATATTTGGTCATAGTCAACCTTACATGTTCAGCGTGCATTCAGAAGTCATCATTTAACCATTCGACTTAGATAACGAGCAGCACGTCAGCCTTAAAAAAAAAAAAACAGTTGCTAAAGGCTGGTGCTCTTAAAGGTTGCTCAGTCAAAATAGTATACGAACTGCAAACCCAAATGTATGCAAACTCCAAAACCAAATGTGGCTTCAACTCAAAAGGCCGAGGTTCGATGCCTGGGAGCGGACGTTGTTTTTTCTTGTTTCTCTAATAGTCGCGTTCGAGTGACTTCCTGAACACTGTTGTTTAATCAAGGCCCGAATGTTCTACGCGCCGAACTTTCTAGGCCGATTGTTTCAGAAGCCCGTGCGTGTATATAAGGGGCTCCGCGTGGCAAACCGCAATCAGTCTCACTTCAGCGCTCGATCCTGCTGTTATGCCGCCATCGACGCCTGCGACGCTAGCCTTTTTCAGTTTTGTTTTGAACACAAGTTCGCCCCATTAAACGTTTAGTTTCAGCATTCATTCGTTGCCTCATCATCTGCCATTCGCGACATTTTGGCGGAGTCGCGGGGTACCGCGTGTTCGGCCCGTGAAACGTACTCCTCACAATATATGTCTGGCTTCATCATTTTCAAGTCCACGAAAGATTATCTCCGTTGACGAACTTAAATCCTGGACCAGCCTTCGTGCCCAAGGCTTGCCCCAGGAATTCCCCTCTCGACCGTCGGAGCCAAGAAGGACTCCGGCCACGATGAATACCACGTCGCAGCAAGACGGAACACTACCGACTTCCATCACCTACGCGCAGGCCCCGCCATGGAGGCCAGGGACTTTCTCTGGCGACCTTCATGAGGATCACCGGGTAAGGCCAGTTGAACAAAAATACTTTCACATAAAGAAAATATCATACACACCATTCCAAGAATGTAAAACGAGGGGTGGCCACCACAGCCCCCATATCCGCCTTAAAGAAGACCTCTTACCATCAAATCGAGCAAAGTTTTAAAACACAGGTCTCGGGACTACAGGAAGCTGGGTATCCAAACTTGCTCCTGGTAGCGATCTGCGAGCAGGTCTGCAGGACAATCAAGTGCAGATTTGGGCCCTTGGCAAAAAGAGGCCGTACTTGAAATATAGCTGAAATATATTGAGTATGCACATTAACTTTGTATTCAATCCGTACCATATTGTCCACATTAGACAAATACGTGTAAGGTATTAAAAAAATATCATAAACATCAAGCAGGAAATATTTTAAATGTAGCGAAAGTTCCTTCACTCTCAAGATGCCATCTGTGTATTAAAAACTGGCTACATAATTTGTTTTTTTTAATTTTAATTTGGTTTTATTAGTAAATGGTCTCCTTATGGTGTTTGACGGTACTGCTACATACCCATCCTACAACTGCACATTAGAAACAAACACAAACACAAAGAGCGTAAAGCACTGAACACT